AATAAATCTTTAAAAAAAATTGTCTAATATTTAATATGTATCAAATTCTTACTCATATATGACCCATGCAGCAGCTGGTATATTTACAAGGGCCATCCACCAATTGTAATCAGTCAAAAACCCAACAACTATTATTGTTTGTGCAACAATTTTTGGTCGCACCCACTAAAAACAAAAAGCGGGTAAGTTTTTTTTTTTACATTTTAAATTAAATAACTAATATACTAGCATACTTACAAAATTCAGTCTGTTACAACATTCTTGMGCATTTAAATAATCACATTCAAGATCTGACAACGTTATAATCTAAATAAGATATTTGCTAAGAAAAACAATAAGTGATAGAATACAAACTATACAAATATAATAAAATTTACATGTATAATTACTTACAGAAATTAATAATAACATAAAATAATAGAAATATTTAAATTCATCATTTCAAAGTTCTTCTATCCTCTTTATGAACCATATATTTTTTTCTTCATACACCACATTCAAATATCAAATAAATTAAATACAAATATTTGAACAAATTGTKTAATTAAAAAAAATTWAATTTAATAAAAGTATTGAAGTACAATTTATTATTTTATTACAATGTTGTTTATATTGTTGAAGTTGGCAAACAACCATTTAACCATTGATGCTACCCATGCGTTTGTTGTCTCTATCCTACAAAAGTATGATATGGCAAATTTTTGTTCACTGGTTTCAATAGTTAGCTAATCCTAATAGTATTGATATTAGAGTGAGTTGATCTATTATAAAATTTTTTGATAAGAACATTATCTATGCTTAAACGTCAGCAATGTTTAGATATTTTAAATTTCAAGCAAAATAAGGGCATTTKGAATATCACAAATTWTAAATTTTATTATTTTATCATATCTTGGTTGAAAATTAAACTATTGAATAAAAGCCTAAGCTTATGAACAGATAATATTCTTATCCAAGTGTAGTGTGGTCATTTCTCTCTAATATCAAAATTAACAGCACATTGTTAAAACTACTGAACAACAATTAACTATGCCGTACAAGTATAAAACAGAGACTATGGTGTAACCTAACCTAACCTATGAGTAGCATCCTTATAAAGTAAATATTTGCTTAGTGAGCTACATATATTGTAAATTAATTTTATTCAGTCTGTTCAGTTGTGAATTTGTATAGGTATTTAGATACCGATCACAATATATTTATAATTTTGTTTTTGAATTAATAAATATGTTTGGAACCTCCTTTTTGTACATTTTTAGGTACCAATTGGGACACAAACCTAAATCATTTTAATTAAAATTTCATCTAAGTTTCTTTAGTGGCTATTTTTAGAATATTCTATAAAGATTTCAACATACCATTATATATTTATTTTGTCTATATAAATATCCATGGTTGGTAACAGTTCACTTTAATCTAAATATTAAAGGCAAGTTTATTCATTATAAATTATAAGATCGTATGGATATATTATTGATGAGTTTTCTCGTGAGTTTTTGATTCTTCAAAAACTAAATAATTATTAAAAAATTAATAAATTTACAAGAACACAACAAATTCTGAAAATGAAGTATAAATAGTATATTATTTAAACATACCTACAGATATTTTAAGCAGAAAAATAATTTTCTTGATTACAGTCCTGAATGCCGGAATATTGACTGTGTATTTATGCAYAGAAAATAAATAATTTGTAAATATACCTTAAGCAATAAAAATATAAAAATGGCAATACCTACGATAATTAAATAACTAAATGTACTTTCAAAATAGTTAAGAGTAAGTTTCATGYTAACAATACTATAAGTTTTTAACATATTTGTAGATATTAAATAACATTTAGGTAGCTACTTAAAAAATAAATACCTTATAATCAATAAKCATTAAACTAGTATACTGTAAGCCATCTAAGGCAGACACTTATCACAATAAGTTGGMTGGTAAAAGGATACAGAGTAAACCATGAGGAATAACAATGCTCCTGTCATAAACATGGAAAATGCATAGATCAAAATTTCCCACATTTTATTATTAGTGCTTTCTTTCACGATGATTTTCTGGGTGCTTGCAATGAAATAACACAATAGGTGTATTAAATATATAGTAAACGAGATTCACAGCATATTAAAATGTACACGTTGACCACCCGATAGTTAGTAAAATACGGAACTCGAAGACTATAGTTTAATGAAACATACGAATATTTTCAAGCCTTCAAGACGCGTATGAAGAAAAAACTAGAAAAGTACAAAATAAATAATGTTCAAAAAATTAAATATGAAATATAACTCATGTAATTAAAAAAAAAAACCGTGTGTTGATATTGTTGATAAACTAATATTTGTTGATAACAACCGCGTTATCATATATTCTGTGTTAAGATGTTAATCTTAATCCGTGATCACAAGGCATAGGGTGATTATTATTTTGGTCATTTGGCTATTTTGGCATAGACCTTTACGGTTATTTTGATTTTGATCCATCTGAAAAAAAGATTTGTTTGAGTTCGAAATATGGCAAATGAAGACCGATATCTTCCATCGTGGATGACAGAAAAACRGGTAAAAGAAATGTATATCTATCTAATCTTCAATATTACTCAATATAGTTTTATCCTGTCCCTGAGTTGTTTAAAAACGTTTCTACAATTCAGTATATAACTTTCTTTATACCTTCAAATCTATATAATATGCTTAAAATTTAGTTCACTACATTTAGAATGTTTTTTTTTATTATTTTATTTATGTCAGGTTATAAAAAAAACAAAAGAGTTTGTGCAGTTTGAAGGACAAATTAAACAGTGCATATATCCAAATATTTTAGCATCATATGCAGAAGAAATTTTGTAAGTTAGTTTGTTTCACAATTSTTATACCGTATATTCGATAAATGATTAAAACAATGTTAGTTTCATGTTTTATTTAAGTTGGTTTATTCAATTCTGCACAACCCAATGAATTGTGAACCCCCATATACAAATTATTGTTTTTCAAGTTACAACATTTTATCTTTTTACATTAGGACTAAAATTGAATCTAGTGAGATGTATGAAGTTGTATATGGCTTTGATATGGAATGGCCAGTAACTTTTGACAGAAAATCGAAAAAAACTGCTCTTATACAAATTTGCACTGACCACAACACGTGTTATTTACTCCATGTATGTGTCTTAGTATTTTCATTTTTCACAATATGTTGGCTTATAATGATAGTAAATTTAAATAACTGTTATTTAAATTTATGTAATATAGGTATATCATATCATAAATCTTCCGTCAATATTTGTGAAGCTCATTAATCATCCAAGAGTTAGATGGTCAGGTGTATTTATTAAAAAGTAATTTTTCTTCCCGTGTTTTTCTTAAATATTTAATTATTAATTATTTAACTATGTTTACCTTTATGCTTTATTTTTTGTTCATAGTGATTTTTCAAAGCTTGCAAGGGATTTTGACATTGATGTTACTGGTGCTTTAAATTGTATTATCGATTTAGGTACTTACACGAACAAAGTTTTGAATTTTGAATTGTCTACAAGATGGAGTATGGCCAATTTAGTTCAACATTTAGTAAGTTCTAAAATATAAGCAATTGTGTAAGACACTTATTCATACCCAAGTGTTTATTTTCAATAGCTTAAAAAAGATATAAATAAAGACTCAAATGTTCGTATTAGCAATTGGGAAAACACAGATTTAGATCAAAATCAATGTATGTATGCAGCAACTGATGCTTTTGTAAGTGTAACTAAATGTGATTATAACAATTGTATTTAAACAATTCAACATTTTCAATGGTTTTGTTAATATTTTTTTATTATTTTAGGTATCTTTAATATTGTATGAACATCTAAAAAGAATTGATAAAGAAAATGAACTCCAGATTAATTAAATTATTAAAATTAGGGCAAATGAGTTATGATTCATGTCTTAAATTGCAAATCCATTTGTCAGAATCTTTAAAAACAACAGCCATTGACAAATGTGGTTATCTCCTTATTGTAGAACATAACCCTGTTTATACAGTAGGCATCAGGCAAAAAGACTACAATTCACTCTTAGAAGACAATTTAATTAAATTGGGTGCAGAATTCAAACGTACTAACCGAGGTGGTCTTATCACTTTTCATGGTCCTGGACAACTTATTGCTTATCCAATTTTAAATTTAAAAAAATTCAATCCTAGCATTCGATGGTATGTTCTAAATTTAGAAACAACTATTAAAAACCTTTGCAATGAAACTTATGGACTTACTGCAACTACTACATCTGATACCGGAGTCTGGATAGGTAATYATAAGATCTGTGCTATAGGTGTAAGATGTAGTCGATATATTACTACACACGGCCTTGCCTTGAATTGTAATACTGACTTATCCTGGTTCAAACATATTGTACCTTGTGGTTTACATGGTAAAGGAGTTACCTCTCTTAGTAAAATTTTTGATAAAGACATTTCTGTCAACGATGTGTTACCATATTTCTTACAACATTTTTGTAAATCATTTTCATGTGACATTATAAATACTGAAATTGATAAATTGGCTTAATATGATGTATTTAATAGAATTTAGAATAATAGAATATTGTAAAAATTAGATTATTTGTCGAAGAACTTTATGAATTTTTTATCATGTTTTGTTTGCATTACTTATATAATATATGGTTTGTAAAATAAATT